CTTATTTCATATGCACAGTTTGGATTTAAGACAAAGATATCTGATAACTCTCATTTAGTTAACAATCTTTACAGCATGACCATTAATTCATTGCTTTGACTAAAGCCATGATTGTACCACAGCCATTAACAGAATGAGAGACTTCCATAAATGATACTTTCACAACTGAGCACCTGAGCACATATTAGCACCTGACTCATTTTTAAAAACTAGGAACAACAAAACAGAATTAGAGCATCAAATAAAGTTTTGTTTTTTTGTTTTTTTTCCTGAGATAGGGCCTCACTGTGTAACCCTGGCTGTCCTGGAACTCACTGAAATCTCCCTGCCTCTGCATCAGAGGAACTGGGATTAAAGTCATGCACCATTATACTGGCTGAAAGTCTCAGTTTTTAAAATGAAATAAACAAAAGTTTATTTTACCTTAAAGATTCTGTATTCTATAAAGTTGAAATCATATTGTTCAAACAAAACTCATATGTACTATATTAGGGCTTCTTAAAATATTTTCTATGTACAATTCTCTTTTGCTGTAGGGACTTTTCTGTGGCCCTGCATACATAGGTACATAATATAATATAATATAGTGTGCAATTCCAACATTTTTGCAGATTATGAATCACAAAGAACTTTAGTTTAAAACAATTCTTTGGTACATATATAATTTTGTCATTTGTTAACAGTGAAAGCAAATTTACATAATAATAAAATGGATGTGATCATTTCTTTTTACATAAAAAAGTAAGTCTTGGCTGAAGGTTTGATATAGCAGAATACAGAGCATTTCCAACATTTTTCAGAGTTGCTCAATATCTTAATTTTATGATTATCAGTGCTGAGATTGCTACTCTGCATATACACATGGAACAAAATGGAAGAAGGATGTTTAGGGTCATTTCGGAAACATTTGAGAACTCAGTCCCAATCCAAGCCAAAATTTAGTTCACAAATATTTTGAAACTCAGGTCAACAACTCAAACAGGAAGTTTGAAAATCAAGTACTCTAACACAATACAATCCAGTGACAAACTAATTTGATACTTGCATGCTGAAAGATGATGGTATGAAAATACTAAAAAGTCCCTGTTTTCCATATTTAAACCACTATGTGTTTATTAGAACAGAAAACCATACATGGACAGTGAGAATACCACAGTTTGTAACGTAAGACAGTCTGGACTGAGCCTCAGTGGTCTAAGCGGTTTGTGCTCACTGTCATTGCCTTGTTTGAAGGGCTGTGCAGTGCAAAGCATGCTCATTGCATCTTCGGAACCAAAATGTAATGAAGTCCTGTTGTGTAACATAGAGTTCCCCCTGAAACAACTCACATTCACTACGTACTTGATACTGAAGTAATTTTTTCTCGTTTTATTGTTGCCACAACTTTTAAGCCTTCAACGGTCAGTCATGTGTTCCTATCATAAGAAGCTGGCCACCAGGCAATAAAAAACTCTGCTTCCAATAGCTACACATCCAAGCGCCCTGTCTAGATGCAGCAGGTGGGGTACTCTTTCATTACAGGGATGATAGAATTGACTAAGCAAACTTAGTACCCAGTAGACTACTTTATTCGGGGCTGGTGTTTTGCTCCATCTCAGCACGTTATAACTGTGGCAAAGCCATTCTCAGAAATTATTACCCCAGTGCAAACATACCCCTGTGGATTCAAAGCCGTTAACTGGGTTCTGTTATCATACACACATATGTACCAAAGCAGCTGTCCTCCATAAGCCACCATGGGTGATTAAGACTCACTGGTGGGCTGCCTGCAAGCAGGCTTGAGTCAGGTGGCTGCACTGGAGCTGAGAAAGATTCGGGCAAGGTGCTGGGGAAATGGCTTTTAAACTTTTCATATCATCGGGTCTCCTCCTCTTATGCGCTCTGTCATAGATCTCATTCTGTCTGACCACATCAGGAACTTGGCTCAGTTCCTGGGTGTGAGCTTGTGGGTGATACTAAGAAAAATGAATGCATGGAGCTTATGTCCGAAAAAATCTCTTTTACCAAATTTTCATAATGACTGGCTGCAGGCAGTCTGAGGGGAAAGGCAGATCAAGAGCATTTCTGTAGAAAGAAAGAGATCTCTCGTCCTCTCATTCTCTTTCAAGAAAATGAATAGCTGAGCACCATGAAGCAAAATAGGTCTTTAAAAATAAAAATGGCTTTCATGTAGAGAAAGACAAGTTGAGAAGAAAGGCAGAGCCTCTGATACTGCCTCTGAGGCTTTAATCTGAACAGAAGTTGCTGTGCCATTGCTGACACCACTATCAGAGGCCACCTCTGTTCCCAGCATCTCGAAGATGGCATTATCTGCATTTCATAGGCCAAATCTATTAGATCCGTGGTCCATGAAGCTGGCTGCAGCTTAGGATCATCTGGGGAGTCCTTAAAACTACCAATGCCAAGGCTCCATTCCAGAACTACTGGATATGGCTCTGTGGGGCAGAGACTGCATTTTGGGTTGGTTTAAAAGTTTACCGGGTGACTGAAAGATACAGTCAGCGGTAAGAATTGCTGGAGTGATGGTTGTCAAGACCAGTGGCAGCAAGGTAGGTTAAGAGGCCAAAACTCTCTCAGGAATGAGGGAAGCCAACAGAGAGATAGGGTGAGAAGCAGTATTTAGGATTCCATATTTAGCAGATTTTCTGTCAAGATCAAACTGGGACCCTTGGCTCTCAGTCATTGAACTGTACATATTCTTGAAGAACCTAATAGTTAAATCTCTAACAAGAAACAGAGTGCACCTCCCTCTCTTTCTTTGCACATCTGCCCACCAGCTACAGGTCCAGCTGGTTGGGCCAAAGAGTCAGTTCTGCACTGACAGAATGGCTTCCAGCTGCTCCCTGCCACCTGTCTGTGTCAGTCAAGCCACCTAATTTGCAGAATTTGGCAGAAGATCTGGGATATGTTCTCTACTCCCTTGAGCAGAGACAAAGCTACCATTTTGATCCACATCTGCCTGTCTTCTATGCAGAGCATCTAGACCTTCCAACTAGACTCACAGGGGTCCCCTTTAGCAGTATGTTATAAATCTGAAGATCATTTTAGACAAAGCATTACAGATACTGACACACACACACCCCAAGTGCAAACAGGAATTAGAAACAAGAATGCAAGCCGTATATCAGATGTCAAGGAAAGTGTGTGGCGGGCATCAAATAAGTAACAAGGAAGCCAAAATCTCAGCATTTTAAAAATAATAAGAGCTACCTCCTCTTGATAAAAGAAAAAGAGAAGAAAAATCTGAGCTACAAAATAAAAAGGTTGTCTTAATTCATTTCACACAATCCAAGGATTACTGTGGGGGGAGGGGGCTCTGAGGTCCCAGTGTAAGACATGTAATCTGCTCGCCTGTAGACCAGCTGGCCCTTGCCCAGTCCCGGTGGTTGGTCCTCAAGCTAGAAAATGCAGACACTCTACACTGCACGATCACATCCCACTCTTGTCAGCAGCGCGACCCTCCTGCTGTTCTCATCAGGTTAAAGAAATATTCAGGCAATTACTCCACATTTCCAAAGAGCTTCTACATAAACGATCTCATTTGTATTTCTCATAAGCTCTGTGACATTTATTTTTCTTTCTTCTTTTTGACACATAATAGTACATATTCATGGGCACAATGTGATGCTTCAATACGTGTGTCTTGTATAGTGATCAAATCAGGTTAAGTAGCACATCTATCATTTGTGATGATACAGTCAAAATCTTCTCTTTGATATTTTAGAATATGCAATACACCTTTTTAAACTAGAGTCACCCTACTGGGCAACAGAGCATATTTCTTCTACCTAATTGGAACTCTATGCAGGTTTACCAATCTCCCCCAAGTCCAGTCTCTGGGAACCACTATTCAATTCTCTGTTTCTGTGAGACTGCTGTTTCACTATCACCATTTACAGACATTAGAGATCTTTACTTTATACAGTAAAGGCAAACTGCGTTAGTCCAAAACCTTCTTAACCCTAAAAGCTCTGCTCTGTTCAACCTGGCATTCCTTCTCAGTTAATGCCTAGCCCTACCAGCAGCAACATCATCAGCTTTTGCTTTTGTGATTCATATTTCAGTTTTGGTCATTCCTATATTGCACATAAATTCATATTAAATTTACTAAGTCTTGTTTTTAAGACCACTAAATAAGAGGCTTGACAGACTAAAATCAGTAACAGAGAAAGGGATAATGAAGGTGCTGGGTAAAATTTAATGAAAAAAAAATCCAGCAGCTAGTATTAAAATAAATTTTGAAGCAATTGAAATGAAAGTCATACATTTGGGGGTATCAAAACACAGATTAATGATAAGCAATAAAAGAACATACTTAGCACTTAGTAAAAACAAATGCTCTTCATCTTTTTTATTTGATCTATTGAAAACAGCTTGGTGTTACATGTAGGATAAAACTGTTCAAGCAAGAGAGATATGTACCCCACACTTCCTTCTGTCTCTGAAAGGCTTCCTAGTGCCTATATGTGCCTAAGCATTCTGCTGGAGACTGTCGATGTGAAAACCGCTAGAAAGGATACCTGTTCAATTACAGAATCTTTATGACGAATGAATGACTTTGCCCATCAGAATGGGCTAAGTTGTGTTTTAACAAGTAAAACCAAACTCTATAGGTTAAAACACACACACACACACACACACACACACACACACAGAGAGAGAGAGAGAGAGAGAGAGAGAGATGAAATTCTTGATCATAGTATGTAGTTCTTCAGCTGTAGATTCACTCTAGGTCACAATTGCCATATGCAATGTTGATAGTTGTGACAAAGTGTTCTGGAGACGGCCACACTAGCAATTAAATTCTATGATGTGGAACTAAATTATGCCACTTCCACTTTAATTATTTTGGCCAAGATGTGTCACACAGCCACACCAAGCTTAAGAAGGGCCAAATATGTGCAGTCTAACTAGGGATCAAACTGATGAAGAACCCCAACTATCAATGTCTGAATAATAGTCGTTACTCTCACAATTTGTCATTGTATTTGTTCAGAAAGCTCAATAAAAGAGAGTTACTCTGTATAAGGACAAGGTAGAGAAAGCAGATAAGTTAGCAAGGATCAGTTATGTTTCATTAATTACCATCAAAGTCTTTTCAAGTAAAGGAACAACAGCAAGGCAGATGGCTTAATGAGGCTGCAGTACAGAGGATGGTGAGAGGGAGAAGGAAGATAAGGCTGAGGACATTGACTAGGACATGACAGACCTTGCTTGCTAGGCAATATGAAGCCCCTAAAACTATTAAAGCACGTGACAGAACTGATGAGAAGAAGAATAAAAGAAAGGCTAGGGCAGGAGACCACCAATGCCACAAAGCAGCAACAGGAGAGTGGAAGGAAGGGGACACAGTTCCAAAATCCTCCCACAAAAATGCAACTGGACCTTTGACAGAATGCACTCAAAGTTCTGGAAAGTTGTTACAGGTCGAGGTAGGAAGGACGGAAGGAACAAGGAACCACTGTAAAAGGAAGATGAAGCTGGAGGTATTCAATAACCTTAAGTGTTGAGAGCAGACTCGGGTGGAAGGAGAGAGGTGGGGAGCTGCAGATGGGAGGCAGCTGGAAGCCCAGCTGAAGATGGAATTTCTCAGGGAGGAATGAATGAGATATGAGTGAAGGAGATATGTCCTGGAGGAGGCTGGTGTGCGTGAGGGAGGCTGACAGAGAGTGATGAAAGGTAGTCTAGAGAGAAAAGACCTACACAGGAAATGGTTCACAGGCCAAAACACCACAGGGATAACAAGTGAGAGAATTTAGATATGATCCATAAAGTGTCACAAACAGAAAGACAGAAGGAACTTTCCCCTCCCCCTTCTTTGCTTTTTGTTTTTGTTGTTGTTTTTGTTTGTTTGTTGTCATTTGTTTGTTTGAGACAGGGGTTCTCTGTATAGCCTTGGTTGTCCTGGACTCAATTTGTAAGTAGGCTAGCCTCAAACTCACAGATATCCACCTGCCTCTGCCTTCCCGAGTGCTGGGATTACAGGTGTGCATCACCATGACTGGTTTTCAAAAGCAGCCATGATTGCGCGGGGAAGGCAGGTCTTTGCAGGAGTTGAAATAGCAACTGGGTAAAAAGACCCTGGCATAGGGCCTAAGTGTAAAGGGAAATACTGAATTAGGAAATAGCAGATTTCCTTAAGCCAGGCTAGGGTGTGTATGTGTGTGAGTGGACAGAGAACAGAATAGAAGGGCAAAGATGGTGAAAGAGGTAGGCTAGAGAAGGCAGAAAGGGCCTAAGAGCAGAGTCGAAGGATGCTGCTGCTCCTATAGAGTGCTTCCCCATTCTTATGTCATTAAGAGATGACGTATTCTGCTCTGTTTCATAACAGCAGGCTCCAGGAACAAGGATGTGACAGCCTTTCTTGACATGTCAGCTCTGTAACCCGGATTTTTCCTTCTCACCCTCTCTTTCCTGGGACTTAGGTGCCTTCATTCTGCTCTCAGAAGGGTGAACCCAAATGATCAGTTACTTACTAACCTTTTAAGATATAGCCATGCTACTGTGTGTAGCAGTTGTCTGCTTCTTTTTTGTTAATGGCTTGTATTTTATTATATAGAAGTGCACACCTTGTTTAGCTATCCACTCATTGATGCTATTTAATTGATTTCAGTATTGGTGAATATGAATGAAGATGCACAAACACCTGCACACAGGTTTGGATAAAGTGTGTCTTTGAGTTTTCTGAGATGAGTTCCTAAGAACTGGAATGCTGTGCATTTCCCTGACAGGTGTGCAAGCCCTTAACACCAGACATGAGAGAAAAAAGGACAGAGAGAGAAGAAAAGAGATCCATGAACAAAGTCAAGGGTCAAAAAGAGGGCGTCATTGTTAAACTACTTCCTGCTGATTAGGGATTCAAGCTCCTTGGGGCAAGTTTGATCTTTGTCGTCAGTATATCTAGTCTAAGTCCAGCTACCTAGGTTCTGGAACAGCTAGGGAATAGCCATGTGCACATAAGCAAAGTAACCTTGACCCCAAACTATAAGATATATAGATACCAAGAGTTGAGGGAGATGGCTTAGTCAGCAAACTGCTTTCCAGACAAGCATGAAAATCTGGCTTTGATCTCCAGAACCCATGTTAACAAGTAGTGAATAAATAAATTAAGTGTGGTAGACTTAGTGTATAATCCCAGGGCTGGAGAAGGGGAGACAATCAGATCCTTGGGCTGGCTGGCAAACCAATTGACGTACAACAGTTTCCTCCAAGACTGAAACATACCATTGTGCAGGGGAGCTCCTTATTTAGGAAGGTAAACAACTCAAAGTAGCTTCAGAAAGTCCCTCCTGCGATGGACCAGATTCACTAGGCCCCTTCTTGGCAGAGGAAGCAATAGAGGCTGCAAAGAAGGCTCTGAGATTAAACCAGCTGCCGAGAAGCAGACAGCAGCTGAGCTGCCAGGAAAAGGCTTAGACCAGAGTCACTTGGAGAGGGCACTCCAACCTGTTGCTCTGCCTGCGGGCTGTGCAGTGTGCCCCAGGTTGTGACTCGTCTTTTTGCTACTCTGTGCGTTCTTCTTTCTTCCACCCTTCTCCATCCTTTTCCTTCCACCCTTTCAACACTATATAGGAGAGAAAAAAGGGTAGAGAGAAAAGGAAAGAGAACCCTGAATAAAGTCAGGGATCAGAAAGGGATGTCATTATCATTAGACTACTTCCTGCAGGTTAGGGTAGTCAAGCTCCTTGGCGAAACTTTGATCTTTGCTATCAGGATATCTAATTTCTTCTTGTTGGTGTTTCTTTCTTTTGTACAGGACTTCTTAACAAAATGCAACCAACAGCTCACCAATAGCACACCAACAACCCACCAACTCAATTCCTGTTATGTCCTGTGTTTGGACAACTGGCACAGCTTGGGGTTGGTTTTGATGACATATATCAATACTTTCCCAGGAACATCTACCATTTGCCCCCTAATTTCATCATGGGCTATCTCTGAGATTGCAGAAATATTAATCTGAATACCCCACTATTGTAAAAGATCACTTCCTATAAATTTATGACTATGTCAGCCACATAAGGTTTTAACTTACACTTCTCCAGAGTTTTGCATAATCTGTATACCTTTTTTCTCATCTTCTCAGCTTTGTCCCAAGCTCTTAAAGCTGCTAAGCAATATTGTTCTATGTATAGTAGCATCAAATTGAATCTGTTCTTGTGTATCTGAGTACCAACCTTCCCCTTACTATATTCATTCTCCTTGCTCTATTTCATTGTTCACTATCCACAGCTTCTTCCCTCCACCAAGTTAACCATTGAAATTGCAGACCAGTGTCCAGTACAGCTGTCACCAATCCCTTCCAGTCTTGGGGAATAATTCTATTTTAAGTAGCCCAGTTGTTTAGAATTTGGCAACATAAGGAAAGTGCATTCCATATGAAATCATAGCCTCCTTAAAATACTTTAGACCTATCATTTCTATAGGGGATAGTGGTGATCTTGTAACCCCGGGACACTCCTCCTCCTACTCTGGCAGCATGATTGGAGTTTAGCCCTTTCTCTCAAAATGGGCCATTTCATCAGACTATCCTGCTTTTTCAGATTTCTCTGACCAGTTTCTTTCCCCCTTTCCTCCTGCAGCAAACTCCCACTCTCTTGCTCAGTCACTGGGACTGCACCTTTCTGTTCTCCCTTTTCCAGTGTTTCACACCTCCTCTGTGTTCCCACCTTCACCTGCATTTTTCTTTTAGTTTCCCTGCCAATTCTGCAACCCTTTCAAAAAAGAGAGAGCAGACTGACTGCTTTTGCTTTCCTGTTTCAGCCATTTTGTTTGTTTGTTTGTTTCTTACGCCATTTCATTTCCACCTGTAATTTTTTCAACTGCTCAGCCATTCTCCCAACCTATTAAAAAACAGAATATAGGAATATATAAAAAGAAAAAGACCCAGAAAATCCCCCCCCCCTCAGGGAGCAAATCAGGGCATATCCCATTGGTAGCAGCTGCAATAAAATTTTGCTGGTGTCTTGAAACAAAATATTCATTCCTTCATCTCCTGCCATTTCCTCTTTGACATTTGAAATCAAAGTTCCCGTTCTGCTTAGCCCCACATCTGGGTACCAGTTGTAACTGATCTTTTACTATTTTGTGGGTCCTTATCTCTTTTACCTTTTTTCTCTCTATCCTTTTAATCCCCTAACAGAGAAAAAGGGATAGAGAGGAAAGGAAAGCGATCCCTGAATAAAGTCAGGGGTCAGAAAGGGGGTATCATTATCATTAGACTACTTATTGCTGATTAGGGGCATTGCGCTACTTGGGGCAAGTTTGATCTTTGCCATCAGGATATCTGTTTCTTCTTCTTCCTCCTCCTCCTCCTCTTCTCTTTCTTCTTCTCCTTCCTTCTCCTCCTCTTCTTGCTTCTTTTTTGCACACAACTAATTAACAAATTACAACCAACAGCAACCCACCACCAACCAAACAACAACTCACACACACCACTTCTTGGGGCCCTAGCATTTATATACTCTCAGAAAAGCCTCCAGAATTCCAAACATTACACAATCTCAGAAACTTTCTGCAGCTGGAAAAATCACACCTCTGCTAGAGTACAAGGCAAATATAGCCAGCTGCTATGGACAATCTGAATCAGTCCCATATCTCACACCTAGCATTAAAATGAAAACATATTCTTATAACATTTCCGTGTTTTTTTTTAATTAAAGAAACCAATATTCCAAAATTCTCATCACTCCACATATCCCAGCTTTTGTGAGCTGTTACCCATGTTGGGGTAGGCTTTAATGATACATCTGTCTTTGAGTCATTTATGTTCCTGTATGTAACCTTTCACCCATACTCTTGTAAGCAAGCCAATTAAAACTCATTAGTGCAACAAGTTGTGGTGTCCATGCTGTAATGTGGAGTGTATAGACTGTGTGTTCAGTTTCCCCAAGAGAAGTTTTGTCACACAATACCAGCCTAGCAAAATGGAAGAGTATTCAACTATTATAGAGACCTGCTGCAAAATCCAAAATAGGTTGGCAGTGCCTGAGAAACAATGAAACAATACCCAGGGTTGTCCTAGTCTTACACAAACACATATGTGCATACACACACACACACACACACACACACACACACACACACATACACACACACTGTAAGCTTTCAAGAAAGAAACATCAGAAAATATTTGTGACCTTTCATTTGTTAAAATTTCTTAGATTTGACATCTAAAACCTGATGCATTAAAAAAATGATAAATTAGACTTTGTAAAAATAGGAAGTGTTCTTCAAAAGACACACAGAGATATGGAAAAAAAAACATTTGATTTTCTTATCTGGCAAAGAGCTTGCATCCAGCATGCATAAAGCTGTCTCAAAACTCAATTACAAACAACCTTATAAAATACACACAAAAGGTATAAACAGACACATCACCCAAACTAACGCAAATAGCAAACACAAGCTCACAAGCATGGTCCACCTCAACAGTCACCTGAGAAATGCTAATTAAAACAATGAGAAGGCCTACATTTACTAAATGGTTTCAGTTTTTAAAACCCTGCTGAGGAGAACATCAGACAAGTGGGCCCTTGCATTACAGGTAAAAAGAGAATGTCATCTACATTTCAGAAAGTGCTTTGCTTTTTCTCCTAGAGTTATTCTTGCAGAAGCTGAGGAATTGGAACAAAATAATACGGGAAGGTTAGGGAATTGTAGAACATCCGATATCTTGATTGTGATAACATTTATACAGAGTGAATGCATTTGTTAAATCTTGCAGCGGTTTGGCAAGATGGCTCAGTGGGTAAAAGAGCTTGACGCACAAGCCTTGGAGATCTGAGCTTGATCCCTGGAACCCACACAGAGGTCAAAGGAAAGATCTAATTCAGCATATACACAATACTAATACTACTAATAAATGTTTTATAAAACTTACAAAATCAAAATTAACATTTTTTCATGTTAATTTTATTGTTATCCTAAAACTGAAGAGGGTAGAGAGTGATCACATGTCACTGTGACTTTAGGCAAATTAATTCTCTGTAGCTCAGTAATTTTACACTCTACACTTAAGGCAAAATAATATTTCCTTTCTATTTTTGTAAAAACCGAATAGGCTGGGCCTGTCTTTGTAGATAAAGCTGCTTGCTACCAAGGCCTTTAGACCTGAAAACAATGCCTGTGCCCCACACTGTGGAGGAGGAGAGCCAACTCTGGTGAAAGACTTATTTTCTGACCAGCACTATTATGACTTGTCCGTGGCTGAAGATGGGAAATATTGGAAGGTGTCACTTTAATGACATTGGGTAGAATGGATCTAGGAGGTCATCTCGTGTGGTTTTCTGTTCTTTTAGGGTTGGTGTTACCATACAGTAACAGGATTCAAATACTTAGAGCTGTGGATGAGACCTCCTTAATCCAACAAGACATCCTAGCCTCCAGGAACCTATCAGTTATCTCTTAACAAGTGAATGGAAGTTAGTTATTAAAACAGGAAGCTGGAGCCAACTCTCAAAAACTGTTCTCTGATGTACACACACACACACATACACACACAGAATAAATAAATATAATAAAAAATATTCAAAAGTATAGATGCATTAGTGTACACAGTAGCTAAGTAAAGAACTTGTAAAATAGCATAGCCACGTACACTCCCCACTCTCTGAACAGGGAGCTCACTATTTTTGCTAGGTTGGCTGGCTGGTTGGTGAGTGCCTATAATCTACCTTACTCTATCTTTCAATGTTTAGTATATGCCTCTATGCCCTGCTTTTTACATGGGTGTCGAGACTGGAAATCAAGTCTTCATGCTTGCAGAGCAAAGGCTCTTATCTACTGAGCAATCTCCCCAGCCTCCTGTTGCTTGGTGTTTAATAATCTCCTTATCTCACCTGTATAGAGAATTCAGCCAGGAGAACAAAGTACTTAAATAATCGTTATGAACATATCCCCTTGGCTCCCCCCCCCCCCCGAGATGGCAGGATGATGCATGTTTCTCTCTGTGTGGTTTCTTTCCATCTCGCATCACATTTTGGTGATAATTGCACATCTGTTCCTATAGAATTGCTTTGAGCTCTGTAAAATTCCATTGTATGGGATTGTATGCACTATTGCTAAACACACAGGCTCTTTCTAAGCTTTTCAGCAAGGACTGTATTTACAATACTCCACCGGACTCATGTGCCTAAGAGAGGCTCCTGTAAATAAGTAATGTTGCTGAACAAAGGGGTGTGGACACTTTGGTGCTTTACAGATATTGCCAGCATCAAAGACAGTTTTTTTCCCCTAATTTTCACTCCCAAGAAAAGTGCACAAGAGGCTCCCTTTCCCTACACCCTGACTAACATGGGACCGGGCTTAATGTTTTGGATATAGCAGACCTGGTTTGTAGAAAGTAGATTCTAAAAAGAGTTTTCATCTGATTGGCCTGCTCTTTGATCACCTCCCCCTGAGGGGGGAGCAGCCTTACCAGGCCACAGATGACAATGCAGCCACTCCTGATGTGATCTGATAGACTAAGATCAGAAGGAAGGAGAGGAGGACCTCCCCTATCAGTGGACTTGGGGAGGGACATACGTGAAGAAGGGGCAGGGAGGGTGGGACTGGGAGGGGAGGAGGGAGGAGCTTATGGGGAAATACAAAGTGAATAAAGTGTAATTAATAAAATAAAATTAAAAAAAAAGAGTTTTCATTACTATAGGATGATGATAAAAGGCAACTAAGCTGCATAATATAGCTACTCCTGAAGGGCATTGAGGAAATAACCCTCCCTCTTAAAGGAGAAGTGACACCTGTGTGAAGGGAGACAACCTTCGTGAACACCTTTGAAAATAGGCGGTCAGATTTGTTTATTCACATGCCATTTGACTGCATACTCTCTTTAGGTTCAAGCTCTGTGGAAGACGTCTGAATCTTTCTTTGTCTTGTTTTATGGCTCCACCTCTGGCTCCCAGAGCAATGGCTGATACATAGTAGATGCTCAACAAACAAATTAAGCATGGGCTAGTTGCTTGGGAAACTAAAGTGCACACAACTGTACTCCCTTCTGTTTGTCATCCAGATTTGCTGAAGGTAGGCATGCTGATGCATCACTGATAAATCTGACATCTTTAAGGTTTTTCTTCTCCCAAGCAGACAATGATAACTTGCCCTGAATACAAAATATAGAAATAGATTTGGCACGTTTGCTAAATGGAAATACATTTCTTGCAGTACCAGAAATTATTTTCCCACAGATCTGTGCTACGTCAAAATATTGAAGTTGATTGAAAATTCCCCATTCTATACTATTGTTGTGGTCTAGAATCCAGGTGCATTCAAATTTAAAATATAATTATAAGCTTAGATAGATTCTAAAAGTGATTATAGAGACCTGTCATTAAAACACTGGTCATCAAAATGTACACTTTTGAGTTACTAATGTAGCATCGCAGTATAATCAGGGGCAGAAGAGTCTCCGGTACTCAGCAGGTGCCATGTTTGACCAGTGAATTCTGTGAAAGGGTCCCATCTTCAAATCTTTGAGTAAACCCCTTGTAAATTTGTAGGTGAGAAAAATGTGTTTATCAAAATGATTTTTAGTGATTTTTGAAAGCATGTGAAAGAAGAGAGGTTTACATTTTGAGTTACAGATACAGAGTGCTGGCCATAAAATCCCTTTAATCTTTGGTTTATCCTCAGTCTTCCCAGATTTGCTCCAAGCCATCCCTGTGAGCATCCACGTCAATATCATTCTCTTCTCCATGATTCTTGTCGTCTTAACCATGGTGGGGACAGCCTTCTTCATGTACAACGCTTTTGGCAAGCCCTTTGAAACTCTGCATGGACCACTGGGGCTGTATCTGGTGAGCTTCATTTCAGGCGAGTATAAAATTCTACCTCCTAAGACAAAGCGCTTTCCGGTGGGTCAAAAAATGCCCTGACTAAGTGTAGTCTCAGCCCATGAATGTGGAAATTTTCCTGTAGTATTATGCATAACAGCTAACAGTGAAGAAATACTGCAATGATCTAACGCTTCGGAATTCACTGTGTATGTTATGGTCGTCGATATGAATGACTATGATCTTCACATTATAATTTTGAAGATGTAATCAAATGGATAAATGCTTGTATCAAGATGTTAAATTACAGCAGCAGTAAGATTTTACAAATATTATGAACCAGTTATAAAGTTATAAAAAATATACATAAAAGATATTGATGAAATTGCTTATACATTCACACACTAATACAGAGGCTATATTAATACGGGAGAGATAGGTAGGATATTTTATTAGTTGTGGTTATTTCCAAGTATAGAAACTATAGGTGGTTTTATTTTTTGATCCGATTCATCATCATTTCTAAGTGTTGACTAGTGTGCATTTATTTAGTCAAAAAATAAGAAAATGTCACCATAAAAGTGATAAAGGCACCCACAGATGAGAAATCATATTCAGGAGCCAGCACTTCATGTAGCCTGATGCTAGTTTCATCTGGCTAAGGAGACACTGTCCACCCAAATGGCAAGGCTTTGATAAACACATTTCATTTCATAATCAGGGTTAATGGAAAAGAAGGTAAAAATCTAGTCAGTACCACAAGGTGCTTATCAGACCTTTTCTGAAGGAGGAAAAAAAATGAGAAAATGAAATATATTTACATAAGTCATGACTCTCTTTAGATAGGAGGTCTCTGATTTTACACCATTCCAAACTTGCAGATCAGTTCGAGATTACGTCACATTCTCTTGATGATTTCCGGGAGATTACAGTTCACACCAGCCAAAAGTCTAATGGAAGTCCAAGTTGAACAATGTCTTTCTTTTTTGAAGCTGCCCTTGGCAGCTAGCTCTCAGGCAGCCAGAAAAGACTCATTCCTCTTGACACTACCCAACTGCGGCACCAGCTTGTACATGTGCCTAGAGAACAGAGCCCTGTAGTCATCAGGGGCTAATACGCTGAAGAAGGCAATGTGCTTGCTGTTTACACACACTTACGTATACACACTGAGGGTGCTCCCACCCACATCCTGCTAACCGAATTATTCACCCAACAGAAAAGAAGGTCTCTCCCCAGCAGGCGCTCTACATCTTTTATACACATATAATACAACTTTAAGTATTACAGTAATGAGTATTCTGTAAGGGTAGACCAAGGAGTGCTCGTCTATCTTTGGCAAAAGCAGCCAGTGTAAAGCTTTCTGTATATAATAATTCATGCATTTGTTGACTTGAAAAAGCAAGCCTGGATCACCTAGGTGCCATAGGTGAGAGGAATCAGAACCCTACTGGGGTAAAATTAGCCTTGTGGCCCACAGAGGCAGGAGGACCTGTGCCAAAGAACAACAGGCAGGTGTATTGCAAGGGACCGGCTTTGGACCGAGGTAAAAAGGTACAGGTTCAAGGTGGGACACACAAGTCAGGATGGCAACTCACTATTACAGGGGGTCAAGGCTTGAGCATTCGGGGACTATGTCACCCACTAAACATCCACACCCAAACTGGTAGACAGTCCATCGAGTCTGAGAGCATTCAGGTAGTAGACAAATGACGCATCATTTCAACAGAGACTTAAAGTAGGCCAGTGGATCAGGTAGGATCCTCAGGTGAGCAGCATCCAAATCATCAGGGAATTTGTCAGCAGAGCAACAGCTGCAGCCGCAGCCGCAGCCCCAGCCCCAGCCCCAGCCCCAGCCCCAGCCCCAGAGTGACGAGACCCTGGGGTGGACAAACCCGTGTGCTCTCGCTGACCCTCCAGGTGATTCTGCTGCAAGCTCAAGGTGCAAGTAGAGCAATGGGTCTCAACCTTCCTAATGTTTCAAGCCTTTAATACAGTTCCTTATGTTGTGGTGACCCCAAACTACATGCTTACTTACTTCATAACTGTAAATTTGCTACTGTTATGAACCATAATGTAAATATCTGTGTTTTCCAATGGTCTTTAGCAATCCCTGTGAAATAGTCATTTGATACCTACACACACACACACACACACACCAGGGTCATAACTCACTGGTTGAGAACCAGTGAGCAACAAGGAAATGACTAAGCAAGGGTTGGAGGACTGAAAAACCACAATGGGGACTTGAGGTAGCTCAGAGGATCATCTTTGGAACCACCTACCATTCCTGCAGGTTGGGGAAGAAACAGAAGACTTCTTTAATTTACCTGAATTAGGGAGGCACTGGGTCTCAGATCTTAAAGAGCTGCCACGGCCTCTCTTCAGGACACCATCAGAGATTTTTAAGAGTATGGAATGAGGTCAAAAGTCACAACTGGTGCCAGGGGGGAAAAGTGTTGTTCCCATGGCCTTCGTTGCCAGGAGTCACAAGGCAACTGGAAAGTGCAGGCCTTTCCTATTCATTCTAACACCGGGCAGAAGTTAACTAAACAGCTGACAAGGCAAGCATCTTGACCGAACATCACAAAGCCAAAGAAAGAATAGCTGGTTTGCAGGGGAGACATTCCAGCTAAGTAACTCAGCATCCTAGCGCTCCATCTCTGAATGAAATTCAGAAGAGGAGCCCATTTGGAGACAAATTGGCAGATCTGATGGACAACCTAGCCAGCAGTATCTGAGAAGCAAGGCGACTCAAAGAATGCAGGATTTAATCCAAATGCCAGTTCTTATCTTGGCCTCCAGCCAAGTCTGATGCAGGGAGAACCTGGGCACTCAAATCTACACAGGACGACGCAGTCCCATGCTTACGCTGTGTCTTATACTGAACTTGGAAAAGCAAGTGTTTGATAAAGGCTAGTGAATCGAGGACGGACAGGGGTGGGTGGGGTGAGAGGGAGAAGGGAAGGAGCTATGTCCAGAGCAATACCTTGCAAAGACCCAGTGTTTGCAGAGCAGCCAAAGCTTCTGAAACCTTATTTTAAACACCATTTTTTTTTTTCAGTAATTCAAAAGAAGCTGTATACAACAATAAAACGAGAATCAGGTAGACTGACAGGCTGCAGGCTCTGGGGGTGACAGGTCACTCTTGAAGCATAGATCACCTCATTCCCTCGAAATTCACACAGGGAGCCCAGGGGTCCACAGAGTTTGGGTAATGATTACCTAAACTTAGAGTGTTCATGCAGAGCCCAGTTCTAAATCCTCATTGTGTCGAGGTAAGTTTTCGTTGAGGAAAGTTGTATCATGAACCCTTTAAATGGGAATCAACATGTATAGTTATAGACCAGTGAATGTATTAGGGGGTCCTCTATTTAGGCGAGTCACATTCCATTAGGAGATACCCAGGATTTTCTCCCTTTGCTCAGGTCCTTCCCATTTCTCTCACCATTGTGTGCAGCTCAGGCTTCTGTGCTTATAGATGCTGTCCATATCTCCTGGACATCCTCTCTTCCTTCCTCTCTTCCACATTCACCCCCAACTTTCCTTTGCCCTTCTTGGTTCTTCACTGTGAAGTCATGATGGGACCATACTTTAGAGATCTACTTCGTGAATAGGTGGGAACCTATACCTGTACCAGGACCCATAAGGAAAGGAGAGAGAAGAGAATGATTCCTTCCAGGTCTCTGTGTGGATTTTGTCAGTTATTCAGACCAAAGGAGACAGAAAAGGAAAAAAGAAAAAAAAAAAAAAACTATACCCATTGGATCAGGCAGGAATGGCCACGGTCACGACTGTAGCTTGCTAATGCTTACATCCCAAGATTCTGAATATTTCTTTCCACTCCTTAGAGATTCCAGGGTAATTTGTATGCCTCACCTTTCTCTATATCCCATTTCTGGCTACTACTGTTGAAAATCAGTTAATTTGCTTTCTTCTCTAGTCATTTACAAACTAGTTTTAAGAAGCCTTTTCCCCAATGTGAGATTTAGGTCATACTTAAATGGACCCCATACAGTGACTCTCCTCTCCAACACTGATGTCGGAGTCCCCTGAAGAGCCCGCTAGGATTCCTGAAACCAGCTCCCATACCATGCTAATTAAGCTGGGGGCGCTGGGGGTGGGACTCAAACACTGGCTTTGGATTTGGGCTTAGGTTTTTCAAATGAGGTGATCTTAATTGGCAGCCTGTGTTGAGGACCAGTGCCACAGGTGCACTCACTCTACTTATTCGGCAGAGTATTCGGCGCACGCCAGACTAAGGGCCCTGGTGATGCCATAGTGCAGCCAACATAGGGCCGAGCCTTTGTGGAGCCTGAAGCCTACTGGGAGAGTCAAGCCAAAGTATATGTGGATAAGTAACTGACTGCATACTGACATACTTCTAAGAGTGACAAACAGGTTCCTCTGACAAGCAGAGCAGGGATCGATCGGGCTTTGAGTTTTGAACAGCCTTCTTGCAGTAGCTGAGTTGCTGAGAATCTTCAGAGAACTTCCCAAGCAGCAGAGAAAGCACACACAAGGCCCTAGGGAAGGACAGCTCTGTGGTGGAATAGAAAGAAAATTCATATTGCTAAAGGGGTAGACAATGAGCAGAAATATGTGCTCATTAATTAAAATGTTTAATTGGACCTGGAGAGATCACATGATAGAGTTAGTAGTGGAGCTTAAAAAATCTGTGTTAAATGTTTTAAGAGTGGACTTTAATTGCAGTAAGCTTTTGGAAATTTAAGATGTCTGACAGGTTTACCTCTTTAAGAAATGTCTGGGTGAAAACAATGCTACTGCCTTGGAAGATGAAAAAAAAAATTCTGAAAGCAGATCCAAAACATTTCTCAGGTAGCTTACACAATTAAATAAATGGCAAAGCATTTGCTGAGGTAGACAGGCAAAATGGGGCTCAGGGCTACAGTTTAGAGACAGGTCCTTATTTCAATCAAATGTTACATTTAGGGTGTATCAGATCTGAGATACTCTGAGACATCTAAGAACAGGTGTTATGGAAACATATGGATGTATAATCTAGAGTTCAGAGAACAGGTC